TAAATAAATAAATAAATAAATAAATAAATAAATAAATAAATAAATAAATAAATAAATAAATAAATAAATAAATATTTATTCTGAAGCCTCAGCAGCGAAATGTAAAACAACAAGAAAATGGAAGGCTAAAGTAAATGCTTTACTCATTTTTCAAATCAACGCCTCATATTTAGGAAGCGCAGAATTATCTAACATTCATATTTTGAGGGGAATCCTGTGGGGATTCGTTCCTGCAGCAAATTCCATATCTGAACGGGACTTTAGTGCTAGAACCGGTGAAGATCCTATAAGTATCAGGACCCGTCAATCCTAAACTTCGTAAATCCGTTGAATTCGCAAAACAACGGAGTGCTTATTATATAAGAAACAAGCGAAGAAGTTGCTCGCACACAAAATACCATTGTTAAGAAAGCAAAAGTGGTCCCCCCCCCCAAATCTCTGAAAGTCCAAGCAATCAACCGCCTGCAACGATATGCGGAATGGAATTGTGGATTATTGAAACTGATTTACCTGAGGCAAAAATGTTTCCGCTGAATTTGAAGTAAACCTGATCGCCTTCTCTCATTTTAAATGGCTTGGAAGGTTCTGGAGGGGCACAATATCCTTCCTTGTGTAAAGATTGCAGCTCCATGCTTAATTCTTTAAACGGAACCAGTAAGACGATGATCTTGTAAGGATCCTCTTTATTCTGATACAGTACCACCTTCACCATGATGTTGTGGATGGCGTGTTCCAGAGTCTGAATAAACTGAACCAGATGTTCGCTGTCCATCGCAGAAGATAAGCGAACGACGATAAATCTGTGTAGAGATGAAGATTAGGATGTGACCAAGCAAAGAAAAATATGGCAGCAGGATTCACATCTTCATGCAGAAGATTCTCAAAAGTGAATAAAAAGATAAAACCAGAAACTTTTCTTTTGGGTTTAATGAACGAAGACTTGGAAAAAATATTTTGAAACCTTTTTGCTATGTTTGGGGCATAAAGTAATCTTGGTGGCAGTAATATCACCGTATTTTTCGGAGTATAAGACGCACCTTTTCCCCTCAAAAAAGAGGCTGAAAATATGGGTGCATCTTATACACTGAATATAGCATTTTTTTACCTCCCGAAACCCCACCCCCTCACCAAAATGGCTGTGCATAGCTTTTAGGAGGCTTTCAGAGTGCTCCCGGGGGCTAGGAGGGCAGAAATAAGTGAAAAACTGGCAGGTTTTCAACTTTTCAACTTTAATAAAATTTGTATGCCGCCCACTCCCATAGGGACTCTGGGCGGCTCACAGCAAAAAATAAAAGCATTTAAAAGATTAAGAAAAGATACAATATTAAAAACCAATACCCCATCCATTCAATCAAGTGGGGCTAGAAATTAATCAACAGCCCCAGGCCTGCCGGAACAGCCAGGTTTTGGTGGCTTTACGGAAGGCCGAGAGAGTGGGAAGGGTACGGATCTCTGCGGGTAGATCGTTCCACAGGGCTGGTGCAGCTACAGAGAAGGCCCCCCCCCGGGGGGGGGCCGCCAGCCGGCATTGTCCGGTT